CAGCACTGAAAGAGGAAGGATGAACCTGCTTTCATGAGGCAACTTGCAGAAATTACATCCTCCAACCTATTGCCCTTCAACCACCAATTTGGGGGGTTTATGATGTGCTTATTACTTCCTTGGTCAAGACACTACTTCCTTGGTCTGACAAGGGTCAGAGCCCTTGGTCATGGGCTCTGAGGGAGCTCATGTCAGTGGTAATCTGGGCAGGCAATCACAGTTTTTTGGGATGGAAATCACCTAATAGGTCATCCAGTGTACCATACTGCCAAATAGCATAGTTACTTATAGTGTATTTTCCATTCTTTTGTCCAAACTGGTTCCAAGTAACTGAAGCAATGGGACTGCTACCATATCCTTTGGCAAACACTTCAACAGTAAAACAGATTTCAACATTAGAAAATATTTCCTAATAATATGCCTATATTTTCCTTTGCTTAGCATCACTCCATTATTCTTATTTGCACTCCTGCAGACCACCCAGTACAGTTTTGGCATATAATTATATTTTAGGGAAGCAGATAAGTAAACTTTCTTTAGCAAGTTGCTATCAAAGAAAGTAAAAAAAAAATCATTTCAGCTCATCAACTTTAGTACAGTAATGGAAAATAAATTCCATTACCTTACACATTATCATTAAATGACTTCTCAGTCACTAGTCCAAAATCACCAATAGAAATTCTCTGTCAAGACACTAGAAAACAAATATGCAAGCATACAATAAAAAAAACACACACACACACAAACACTCAGAAGACCCTGGAAACAATTAGAGTATTTCAAAACTGTGTTCACTAATTTCCTGAAAATATTGTATATATTTGAATATTGGCAGTTACCAAACTGAAAAATATCCCCATCAACAGGAAGTCAAATGATAGTGGTGACATAGCTAACTTTACTTCACAGCAGTTGACAATTATTAAATTACTAATCCATAACACTGCAAGTGTAGCATTTTTATGCTTCAAATTTTAACACTAAATTCTTACGCAGTAGGAAATCATGATAAATTTACCACCTAACATATGAAAGCTTTTGTTATTTATGCTAGAATAGGAACTTAGAGTAACCTAATTTATAATGTGAAGGACACTAACCACCTACAGAGTGTATTTCACATGCGTAGATATTTAGAAAACAGGGATCAACAGATCCACCAAGATGGTACAGCACTGTAGCAGTATGCTTCTCCCAGTAGCATATAGTACATAAAAGTTGTAATTTTATTGCCATTATTACGCTAAGTTTCTCAGACTCTCACTTTGTGAATTGAAGTAACAAAAATTAACAAACTCTTTACCGTCATTAACTACTGGCAATTAAATAGTTTCTTTATGTATTTTTAAACTATTATCTAAAAATAAGCATCATAGGATGTTCTCAATAGCAAGATAGAGTAAGAAGCAGTTTGTCCTATGGTAACTGTAAATTCTTCGAGGTGCTTTTAATACGCTCATTCCAGTTGACATATACACACTAGATCTTTTGTGATAAGCTATACCTCACAGGTATACCTTTTTGGCCAGCAATTATTTACATAGTGTGTACATATCATTTGTAAAGAGGAGACCAGGACATACTGCTTGTCAGTAAGAGAGACAGGACATAACTCACAAGAAACAGTGATACATTCAGAAGAACACAGGTAAGTGATTTTGTTGGAACTCTATAATTCACTTTTGGTGGAAATTAGAGGTTTATCTGGACCGGATGGAAAACTGTGCTAAAGCACTGCACTGGAAATTACTGACCAAGGGGATGGGCAGAGGCGACTGTGCTACCCACAGTTAAATCAACACTCACACTCTAAGTAGGTTTCATTAATGCTAATTAAGACAAATTTGTGCATACAACCACATATTACTTTTAACAAAAGGTTAGGTTCCACCGTTCCCAAGAGTGCATGAAATCAAATCTTACGTACCTACATACTCATTGGATGAACAAAATGTCCATTTGCAGTACTGAATAGCTGCATGACTAGATATCCACTTCATAGCTCAAAGTGCACCAATCCATTTCAGAAGGTTTTTTTTAACCGTTAACCATGTTATTTAAGACAAACCAAAACATTCAACATTCGAACTCCCAATCAACCACATCTTTGTGTCTTCTCTTCCATAATCTCTCCCTTTGTTATATGTCAAAGGGTAAAAACTATATCGGTTTAAGAATAGCAATCTTCTAATTGTTCCCGATATTTTAATAGTCTTCTCTCACAGCAATGACTGATGACATAACAAGGTAGAAGAGGAGAAGCAGGGAATTTACAAGCATGATGTGCATTATTGCCAAATGTGAAACCAATTGCTTCCCTTTCCTTTATACCACATTTTTTAAAATAAGACCATGAAGACTCACACATCTCCTTCTATCTGACTGTAAGTAGTACATCTAACAAAAGAACTGCAGTGTATTTTGAACAGTCAAAAAAGCATTTTTCCCAAGGCTGGAAATAATATTAGGTTTAAATTTGTGCATATACTTGTTTACTGAAATAGAGAAAAAACATTCATATTGACTAAACAAAAGATGTAAAGATAAATATCTATTTAGGATAATAAGTACTAGTAAGGGATACACATGACTTCAATTGAGTGCTTAAGCTGCAGAACAGTCTGTCTAGGTTTCCTCTGCAGTAAATGAAGAAAAAAGTGCATTCAGTTGAATTTCAGCCCTCTGAACGTTCAGAGCTTAGGAGTATTAGCTTCCTTTTGCCAAAAGATATACAGCATGCGTACTTTCACAGAGACTTTGCAAAAGTTTGAAACACATTCTATCATATACCTGAAAGCTATTTGTAATTCTGATAAAGGCTTTGACCATTTTATTTGTAGGCATTAATTCAGTACCGGGAGAGGAAGGAAAGGTGTGTTTTCACCCAAGAAAAGTCATCTTTCCTAAAAGCACTCTTTTGACATCCAATGTGGAAAACGTGCCTAGCGATTAGGACATTTTGTTTTTTAAACTACTTTGGCCAGATTATAATTTCCCCAAATTGACATAAAGATGTTTTCATAAGAATTAAGTTTCTGGTAAGTCTTAATTGATGGAAACATATATTAGGTGGGGCCACATATATGAAGATATTTTCCCTTAATAAAATATAGTATGCATTTCATCTGTCTGGTATTTAGAATATATTATGTGCTACACAGACAAGAAAACCAGGATTGTTAGAATTACTGTTCATATTTTAAGTAAAATTTGGTCCTAACCTTGTAATACTGCTGTAATATAGCACTTTGACCGTGACCCATTTTGAACAGGACTCAGCCCCGTGTGCTCACAAGCGCAGAGCAGCAAGCATAGAGCCCAAGAGGCCCTGGGGAAATGCACAGAAAAATTGACAATGCAGCCTGGAAGACTCATATCACCTAACATTTGGCGCTTCAGTTGAGAGCCAAGTTGTCCTGCAGTTTCCTGTATGGTGCAAGGAAAAAGACATGCCTGTACTGAAGTATCGTTTTAAAAAGCCTAATTCAGGTCCACTGAATCTCCTTCTCCACTGACTGAAGGGAAGCAAACTCTTAACATAAGCATCTAAGTGAACCACCTCAAATTATGTAACACAAGCATTGTTTTAAAGTAATTTTTCCTCATCCTTTCTAAAAAGATACATATGCATAAAAAAATATACATACATGTACTTTCATTTCAGTATCCACACATATATTGCATTCTTTGTCTATTTCCAGTTTAGAGAAAAAACATTTCACCTTTCACTTCTACAGAAGTATACCAGAGAATTTTTTTTTTGTTTTGGTTTGCTTTTTGTTTTAAGTCAGCTACCTCTGTTAGGTAGGTGAAACTCTCCTTGTTTTCCCCAAAATAATAGGGGGGAGCAAAGCTTACTTCAACAATGGTTTGAAGCAGCAAACTTCAACAGGTAGTGCAACCATAAGACACCTTTGACTGCCTCTGGGCACAGCTCCATGCTAGACTTTTTTTTTTTATACATTCCTACTCTCCTTTGTCTGCAATCTCTTGTTTCCATTATCTCTCCACAATTTACTTCTCCTCAATAGTGCCAATGCAACTGACTGCAAAACTGTGCCCTGAACTAGAGCTGTGCAAAGATCCAGCCAAAAGAGCTATTACTTTTTAAACCCAAATTATTTCATTGAATGTGGCTGAGAGGTCAGTCACCCAACAGCTGTCCTAGCATAACTGAAGCAGTGACAAACCTTGGCACAGGCATATCTTTAATTTTGGGAGAAGAAAGAGTAGGAACAAGCAGGATTTCCTTAAACTAGCTTCCCCTCCTAAAAAGTTGTAACACTAAACCACAAACTGTGGCAACGAAAGGTGTCTACAGACACGAACTACTACCTTCCCTCTGGCTTTAAAAGATGCTCCTCTCCTTTGCAGCCAAGGAACCAACATAGAACCACATTCCCAGTCACAAATTAATGCTGTTTCAAGCATGACACCTTTTTAGCGTTAGCTTTCAAATTAAATTAATAGAAAAACAGATTTTAGAAATTTGTTTTGGCATTGGAAAGTAACTTCTAAATTTCTTTTTTAGATGAATAGGGAGAAAGGAAAAAGAAGAAGCAAGCAAATCAAAAACATATCCATTGATGGTGAGGGTTAGAAAAGGGAAAAATACATCTCAATTTTGGAGTTAAAAACATAAAAGTTACAGCTTATGGAACATTCCAGTTAAACACTAAAACGCAACTCCAACATCTAGGCATACCTTGCTTACAGAAAAAAGAAGCCAAAACTTATTTAACTTATGGAAGTAATACTTCTATTCAGTGTCATTTAAGAAGGTAACAAAAACAGTTCTGTTGCTTTCAGGTTTTGTCAGGAAACCCATAAACTTGTTTTTACTTTGGCCCATACTGGAGTTCATAATACTCATTTAACCTGAAAGGCATATCCCATGTCTATTTGATTTTGGAGAACCTCATAAAATATAGAAGCATACCTAGAAGGTCATTCTTACACTTAAAGTTTAGCACTCAAATTTAGCATTTAACTATACTTACAGAAACATCTTTCATATTTTTTTCATAGGAAAAATGACACTCTGTGCTTTCTTCACCTCTTGAAATAGCAAAATTATATTTGCCAGCTGATTCTTCTCCAAGTATCAGTGCTTTCTTCAGCTCTTCAACGTACTTTTCTCTATCCATTTCCATGTCAGCAGCTTCCCTAGAAATTTCAGCTTCAGACACTATAAGAAAAAAATTGAGAAATACTCACATTCATGTGTGTACATATACACATTACACACACACTTCAAGGGATAGACTAAAGAAGACTTATTTCCTTGACATATCTGTGCACCAGACACTACCGGAGACACCGCAGGAACACAGATTTTCATAAGGGTCAAGTTCTGTGCCCCTTTTCTGAAAAGGCTTTATTACTACCACCCCACAATTCTGCTTGCCTGACGTTATTCTGTAACACTAACCTTACAACACAAAAAGAGGACTGTTTTAACCAACGATCTGTTGTCCCCTCTGTTTTCTTTGAAACGGAGTAATCTAAACCTAGGAGACAGCAGACATGCAACTCTCCTCACATATTCCCGACTCACTTCTCTAATCTCTTAACTTGCAATCTTAAAGCAAAATAAGATTATCAAGTCAAAAACAAAGGGCATACCTAGAGACATATGAACCTATGTTTTACTGTTTAAAATTCAAAGCCCACTAAATGGGGGATGTGTCCAATTCACATGAGATCAGGTCTATTAAGAAACTCTTATTCCATTCCAAAGGAATGGAATATAAATGACACAACTGGGAGTGCCAAGTCTCTTGCACAGGCAGATTTAAACAGAGACTCTAAATAAGGTCATGTAGCATGTGTGTAACACAATCCAGGATTTAATATATAGCCTACCAGTACAGTGTTTTAAATTCTCTACTTGGTTCACAAAAGTATTTCCTTTTCTAGTTATGTGACTAATCTTCTGAGGAAGATTTCTCTAGATTGTCACTTATCCCTGTTTGATAGTAGACATTTCTAGCATTTTTCTGAAGATGTGCCCAGCACCCGAGAAAGCAAAACGTGGAAAACAAAATTAGTTTGTGATAGCCTGGAAAGGGGCGTGAGGGAGAGTGGAGAATAGAAATCTTTCACACAACTACTAATCGACCCTTTAAAAAAAAAAAAAAAAGGCCACCTCGAAAAACTATAATTAAGTATATTTCTTTAGACAAGTGTCTTGCTTTGAAGATTGTTTCATACCGAGACACAAACCCGCACATGTATTGTGTTTGTACTGATGGAACTAGAACAGCATTTCAAGCAGACAAGCTTGTTTAAATTGCCTCTCTTTTCCTATCCTTTCCCTTGACAAAGTAGCTAACTTGATATTGCAAAGGAGGCAGTATCACATCAATCCATCACACAAAAATACAACAGTGGGGTAAGTGGATAATTATTTGCTACAAATAGTTCTCCTCAAACACTTCAAGACTTCTGAAATAATTCTTCCTCTTCAGTAAGTTCTACTTACCATCATGGATTCACAGACCAGTGGAGGCTGGAAGGGACCTCTGAATATCACCTTGTCCAATCCTCTGCTCAAAGCAGGGCCAGTGAGAGCAGATTGCTCAGGGCACTGTCCAGTGGAGTTTTGAATATCTCCAAGGATGGAGATTCTACAACCTCCCTAAGCAACCTGTTCCACTGTTCAATCACCCGTACCGTGGAAAGGTTTCTTCTTAGACTTAAATGGTCTTCTCTATTTCAATTTGTGCCCTTTGCCTCTTGACCTTTCACTGGATACCACTGAGAAAAGCTTGGCTCCAAATTCCCTCCCATCAAGTATTCATACACAATTCATGAGATCCCTTCCTGAGCCTTCTCTTCTCCAGGCTGAACAGCCTCAGCTCTCTTAGCCTCTTCTCATATAAGAGGCACTCCAGTCCCTTAATCATCTTAGCAGCCCTTTGCTGGATTTGCTCCAGTATGTCCATGTCTCCTGTTCCAGGGAACCCAGAACTGGATATAGCACTCTAGATGAGGCCTCACCAGGGCTAAGTAGAGGGGGAGGATCACTTCTCTCAACCTGCTGGTTACACTCTGCTTAACATAGCCCAGGATGCTGTTGGCTGCCTTTGCCGCAACAGCACACTGATGTCTCATGCTCAAGCTGGTGTCCACCAGAACCCACAGGTCCTTCTCTGCCAAGCTGCATCCCACGGCATCAGCCACCAGCCTGTACTGGTGACTACAGTTAATCCTCCCCAGGTGCAGGACTTCACACTTCCCTTTGCTGAACTTCATGGGATGCCTGTCAGCTCATCTCTCCAGCCTGTCAAGGTCCCTCTTAATGACACCACAACGATCTGGTGCATTTGCCATTTCTTCCAACTTTGTATCTTCTGCAAACTTGCTGAGGGTGCACTCTGTCATCGTCCAAGTCATTAAGGAAGAGATTAAACGTTATCAGCCCCAGTATCAACTTCAGGGGACCCATTAGTGAACAGCCTCCAGCTGGGCTTCATGCTCCTGATCACAACTGTTTCAGCCCAGAAGTTCAGCCAGGTTTCAACCCACTGCACTCTCCACTTAATTAGTCAGTACTTTATCAGATTGCCTGTAAGGATGTTACAGGAGACAGTACTGAAAGCCTTGCTAAAGTCAAAATAAACAACATCCATTGCTATCTCATCATCTACCTAGTTTGCCATTTCATCATAGTCAGCTATCAGGTTGGTCAGGCCTGATTTTTACTTCATAAACCCATGCTGACTACCTCCAATCACCTTCTTGTCCTTAACAAATCTAGAAATGGCTTTATGGAGGATTATTGCTCCATCACATACCCCAGGATCAAGGCAAGACCTCTAGTTACCCAGATCTTCCTCCTTGCCCTTCCTGAAGGTAGGGGAGATTTACTTTTTTCCAGTCCTCAGAAACCTTCCCTGATCACCATAACCTTTCAAATACAATCAAGAGTAGCCTCACAACGACATCAGCCAGCTTCCACTATTATTGTGTGGATTATCCCATTAGGTCCCAGTGACTTGCTTATTATGTCTGGTTTCTGCTAAGTGTTGTCTAACTTGACCCTTCTCCAAGGGATCAGTCTTTATTGCTCCAGACTTTCCCATTGGTCTCAGGGGCTAGGATTTCTGAAGCCAAATCTTAATCAGTAAAAACTGAGGTGAAGGCGGCACTGAGTACGTCAGCCTTTTCCATGTCCTTCGTCACCAGGTCCCCTACCCCATTCAGCAGTGGGCCCACATTCACTTGTGTTCCTTTTGCTGCTGATATACCTGTACGACTCCTTCTTGTTGCCTTTCACATCCCTTGCCAGATCCATCTCCAGATGGACTTTGGCTTTCCTAACCCTATTCCATGCATGCTTAAACAGCATGCTTATATTCCTCCTGGGCCACCTGTCCCAGCTTCCACCTCTTGTATGCACCCTTTTTACATCAGGGTTTAGCCAAGAGCTCCTTGCTCATCCATGCAAGCCTCCTGCCACCTTTGCAGGATTTCCTGTTCATTGAAAAGGGCCATTTTTGAGCATGGAGCAGGTGATCTGTGGGAGGGGAGGGGAGGGCAGGAAGGAAGAAAAACAAAACAACAGCAAAAATCAACCAACTCTCCTGGGCCCCTCTTCCATCCACAGCCATACCCCATGCGATCTTTTCTAGCAGATCCTAATGGGATAAAATGTGATCTCCTGAAGTCTAGGGTTGTGATTCTGTTTATTACCCTCCTCTCAGGATCCTGAGCTCAAATATCTCATGGTCACATCCTGAACCAATTCTTCCTGGTTTGTCAGTATCTGCTTCTGTAGTTTTGTTCCCCCCGCACACTTCAGTAAAATTTGGAAAATATGTAAAACTTCATTGATCTTCAGCTTTAGTCATCTTAGATTTATTTATTTATTTTTAAATCAGGTCACAATGCATCAGGATTATCAGCTAGAGGTCATCCATTCACAAATACATTGACTATTTCTGCACACAACAACGTAATTACTACCTTACTAATTACTTAAGTGATTACCATATATCTGCAAAATCTGACAAGGCAGGTCAATCACTAATGCCCCGCTCTTATTTTGTTTGGGAGAAAAAGGAGATGCAGGTGACAAGAGTGCACAGATGTTACCACGACAGGCAAAGAGAAACAGCTGGCACAAGGACAAACCACCACCTCTGTAGAAAATCTGAACATGCTCATACACTCAGTTAAAAAGATAGATTTTAGTGTCAGAATCATACTAACTACCCGTTAGCACAAGGCATTTTTTCCTAGATAGTTTCAAATATTTAAGGCTAGAAACCAGAGCCAGAAACCAAGTGGATGCAAGGAAATTGGACTGCTTTGGAGTTGTTCATGATAAAAAATACAAATAGGGATGAAGTTAGGCTAAATTAATACAAGCTGGTCAGTTTTTGTCATGTAAATATGTAAAGTATCAGACCCATGACAGTTTGAAGTCTTTAACAAAGCTCCCCTCCTTCTTTAATTGGACAACGCTTAAAACTGAGAATTCTCAGTCTCCCCCAGCCCCTAAAAAACACACTACACCACAAGAGGAAATTTATCACACAGACTAGCTTAACATTATAGTAAAGATTAAGGTTTGAACACAGCAGGTATTCAGTAGATATATAGAGCATTACAGAAATGTCTATACATTTAACGTATGTTCCACAGTACCCCTGTATGTTACAATAAACTAGAAATAAAATAATTTTATATTTCTGAATTGAAAAAAGGCTTCTGTCCTTAGATTAAGCTGCATTATTTACAGAAGAAAAAAGGAACAGGTTGGGGAAAAGAGGTCAGAGGAAAAATAAAGCGTATTATAACTGTATATCCTATAGATTTATAAACCCTATATATGTCATTTCCTTTAAAGACATCCTGAAATGGAAACTGTATCCTGCCGTCTATTAGAGGAGGTGCTTTAGACAATCATACATAAATGTTTTTGTATGTCCCAATACTGGTGAGCTACGATATACCTAAAAACTCTATGAGATGGCTAATAAACTAAAGATTCAAATCATTTAGATTTTAGTATTACCATTTTGAAAACATTATTTTACTTGTTTTACCACTACATTTTAAGTTATTTCTTCAACCCAACAAGATAAATGGAAACAAAACAAAAAAGCAAGCAGCAGCCCTCCTCAGTAAGTTAGGTTTTAAAAGATCTTTATGCAAGGGGATACATTTTAGAGAAGAAGA